GAAGATAAGGGATTCCTGCTACATGCTGCTCGCTGCTTCAGGGGCAACTCTGACTCACAGTGACCCTATAGGACAGGGTAGGACCACCCCTGTGAGTTTTCAAGACTGTAATTCTTTACAGGAGTAGAAAGCCTCCTTTTGTCTCCCAAGAAGCGCCTGGTGGATTTGAACTGCTGACCTAGCAGTTAACAGCCCCAGGCATAACCCACTACATCACCAGGGCAACACATGCTACAGCAAGGCTGAACCTTGAAAATGCCATGCTGAATGACATAAATCAAGTCACAAAAGGATAAATGTGGTTTGAGTCCACTGACATGACTATCTAGAGTGGGCAAGTATACAGAGACCTAAAGTGATTGGTGCTTACCAGGGGCAGGTGTGAGCAAAGTGGAAGGTGAGGTCACTTTTTAAGAGACTCTGAGCTCCTGGTGAGGTTGAGGGGAACATTCGGAAACAGATAACCGTGCTCGTTGGCCGTGCGGTGCGTTGCTATTGCTTGCCTAGGACCTTTCTCACCATAGTCTCGTAACCCCCACCAAACGGCTGGGTTTGTCGCTGCTGTTAGGCACTGTCCCGTTGGCTCGGACTCATAGCGACGTCATGCACAACAGAACACACACTGCTTGGGCCTGTTGCAGCCACCATGTCCATCAGCTCACTGAGGGTCTTCCTCTCCTTCCTGCCCCTCCACTTCACCAAGCAGGATGCCCTTCTCCAGGGACTGGGCTCTCCTGACCACACGCCCAAGGTACGTGAGACGAAGTCTCTCCATCCTCGTCTCTAAGGAGCACTCTGGCTGTGCTTCCAAGACAGGTGTCTGTTCCTTTGGCGGTCCGGGGTACGCTCAATGGTCTTCGCCAACACCACAGTTCAAATGCATCAACTTTTCTTTGGGCTTCCTTCCTCAGTGTCCAACGTTCACATGCATAGGAGGCGAATGAAAACACCATGGCTTGGGTCAAACTCCGGTTCTCAAAGTCACATCCTTGCTTGTCAACATGCTAAAGCGATCTTGTGCAGCAGATTGTCCTAATGCAATGTGTCTTTTGATCTCTTGACTTCCATGAGCATTGATTGTGGATCCAGCAAAAGGAAATCGTAGACAACTTCAACCTATCCTCAGTTTATCATTGATATTACCCATTGGCTCAGTAGAGGATTTTGATCTTCTTCATCCGGGGTTGTAATCCATCCCAATCTTTGTCCTTCATCAGCAAGTACTTCAAGCCCTCACTTTGAGTAAGCCCGGTTTTTAATAAACCTTCCTCTGGTCTTTTAAAAAAGTATCTTTTTTCTTCTGCCTTCCTCTGATCTGATGCCACATTCTTCTCTATATAAGCCAATTGCTCTGATAATTTGCTCAGCATACAGACTGAGTAAGTATGGTAAGAGGATCCAACCCTGATGGCCCCCTCTCCTCATTTTAAACCAGGCAGGCAGCATCCCTTGTTCTGGTCACACACTGTCTCTTGATCCTGGGACAGGTTGCAGCGGAGCACCGGGAAGGGCTCTGGAATTCCCATTCTCCTCAAGGCTGTCCACAGTTTGCTATGATCCACACAGCCGGATGCCTTTAGTGAAATTAATGAAATTAGTGAACATCTTTCTGTTATTCGCTGCTTTCAGCCAAGATCCATCCGACGTCAGCAACGCTATCCCTTGTTCCGCATCCTCTTAGCTTTCAGCTTCAGAGCAACTCACCAAAGACCACAGTACAGCAAACTGACAATGCTGGAATGATGGGTGGGACCATATAAATAAATTGCTTGTGGTACACCCAAGGGATTGGATAGCTCCCTAACACTCCAAGTAAGGGTCATAGAACCCTAACAAGAGATTAGTCAGTTTGCCATCCATCCCCATAGGCTTGAAAGAGAGCCAATTCCAGAGCACCACAGGGGTGGGCGTGAGAGGCCCACTGCCACAAAGAATCAAAGGTTGGGAGGAGAGCATGTCCCTTGGACCCGTGTTCCTGTGCTGAGAACCTCCTAGACTCAGGAGTCAGAGACAGACAGTCACACCAAGAGCACTCTAACACAGGAGATGACAGCAGAGAAACAGCAGCAAGATAACCAGGGGGTGGGTGGGTGTGAGGTGGCACAGTGGGCTGTGGCCCCCGCGGGTGTGCCCATGCACAGAGGGAGACTGCTGAGCACTTCTGGCCGAGGCTTACTGAGAAGTGCCTCTGGGCACTTCTTGGCAGAGCCGAAGAACTCTGTAACACTTGCCCAGGCAGGGCAGAGGCCAGGGCCAAGGGCTCTAGAGGCCCGGCAGGCAGAGAGGCTGAGGGCATATGGGTACGGCTGGGAAGAAGCTGTCCTCATCAAAGATCATGGTCATGAATCATTTCTGCTCCTAAATGGTCACCTATTACACTCCCCTCTCCCCCAACTGTGAGTATGGTTTGTGTGGTCAGTGCAGCAGGGTCTCAGACCCCCCAGCAGACAGGTGCATAATGGCTTGGAAGGGCCAGCTTCTGTGGGATGGTCCGGGGTTGTCTGACCGCCACCACCTCCTCGCAGGATCCAACTTCGGGCTGGTTCTCGCCTTTGTGAAGCCAGAGGGCACCCGGCACCCCGACCAGGCCATGCTGACGGAGTGTCCGACACAATGAACGCCATGACACTACATTGTGTGTGTAAAGAACGTTGAAATGACGTTTTGTTATGTACATTCTCCTCTGCGCCTTAGAACACGCATGCACACACACGCTCATGAACGCATGCACACACACACAGTGCTCAGCGCATCGCCTGGCACGTAGTCAGCACCCGCTTCATGGCAACCACTATTCAAACAGGCTGGAGAGGTGCAGTGGCTTGCTCAAGATCACACTGCAGGTAGGCATGGATGCCCAACCCTGAGGGCTGGGCCTTGTCTACCCTCTATGGATGCCCTGATCTAGGCCCAGTGGGCAGGAGAGGCCTTGTGAGCAATGTGTCCCTTTCAACTGTTTCCCAGCCTTGCTGGGACAGGGCAAGGGCACCTCCACCCAAGACTATGAGTGGTTGCTGCACCGTGTGCCCACAGCGCAGCCCACCCACCCCCAGCCCCCAGCCACCTCCGCATGAACCCCGCCCGGGGCTGCTGCCCCTCCTCTCCCAACCGGGAACTCCTTTCTGTGTCCGCCCCGCCCGGCCAGCCCTGGGGTGGAAATCCAGGGGGCTCCAGAAAAGCCTGCGTGAAGCAGTTTGAGAAAACCTTGTCTTTATTGTCTGTGGGAAGGAAGGGCAGGGAGGCCGGAACATAGCCCTTCTCCCTGCTCCCCAACCAAGCATCACAGGTCTGAGGGGTTGGTGGCCCCTGTACACCCTGAAACAAAGGAGGGCCACCCCATGCAGCCTCCTGATGTCTCCACCTTCTGAAAGCCCCCTGCCCTCCATGGGCCCCCAGCGCCCACCCTAAGCTCCAGACAGGGGCCAGCCCTGCCCTCTGCCTCCAGGCAGTGGCCCAGGCCAAGGCCTCGCTGGTCAGCCTACTGGGGCCTCAGACAGACTTGAGTCCTCCCGGGGCTGGTCAGGAGGGGGCCGTGCTCCGTGGCGAGGCAGCTGCTGGTGGCCGGGCCTGGCTTGGTGCTGGCACAGAAGGATTCTGGGGTAGAGAATCCTGAGAGACAGAGACGGTGGGGTGAAAAGGATGAGGACAGTGTCCATTCCCCAGGGCCCCTCACCCAGGGCTGCCTCAAGCCTGCAGTCCTCTAGGACCGGCCCCCACCTTCGGGGGGCCTCGCAGGGCCTGAGGGCGCAGCAGGAAGTGGGCTGAGGGCAGGTTAGGGGCTGCTGCTCAACCATTGTAATCCTAGAGACCCAGAGGACAACACCAGGCCAGGCTACACAGAACTCCCTGTGCCTCCCCTCCAGCAGAGATCACCCCAGCTCCCCTTAACCCAGGGATGCATGCCTACCTGTACCTGGTTAAGGTGGAGCAGAGAACGAGTACCCGCCAGGCACCAGAACTCGCCCAGCAGGGAGACCAGGATGCCCAGGAGGTCCAGCCAGCGGCCCACCGTCAGCAGCAGCACAAAGAGGCCACCCATGCGCACCAGCACCGTCTGCACTTGGCCTTGCATGCCTGGGTGCTGCCGCTGCTCCTCTGGGGACAGGCAGGACACTGTCACATTCTGGACTCATCCTGAGGTCCAGTGTCCCTCCCGCCTGCCCACCCTCTTGCTTCCTCCTTGCCCACCTTGTCAGATGGCAACAGGGTTGGCGGGTGGAGGTACGTCTGACCACCACATCACAAGATTCGACCTTGGGCTGATGTTGACGGTGATTCTGCCCCATTCTCCCAGTGCCCTCGGGCACCAGGTACTCTGCTCACCTGCATTCCTCCCCGCCCCTCTGCTCTTCCTGTAGTCTAGCTGTCTAAGGGCAACAGCACTGCCACCTGCCAGGGCCAGGGCATCCCGACATCCATGTCTGACCTATCAGTAAGCTTAGGAACTCTTTTTGTGAGAATACACCCTCAGCACCTTTGGCCACTTCCACTGCCCCACCCCGGTCCAAGTCCCCTTCATCTGTCCCCAAAGGCCACCGAGGCGGGCCCTTCTCTGACACCTGGCTTCCACTCTTGCAGCAGGCACAGCGACCTTCTGAGGCATCAAGAAGACTAGCGGTTCTCAACCGGTGGGTTGCGACCCCTTTGGGGGTCCAACGACCCTTTCACAGGTGTCGCCCGATTCATCACAGTGGCAAAATGACTGTGATGAAGTAGCAATGAAAATAATATTACGTGGCGTGGAGTAGGGAACCAGTGGAGAGGTCTGGGGGGCCGGCCCCAATCCCAACTACTAAGTGGACACCTGCCCCTCCCCCCAGAAGAATTTATTTCAAAGGACGACATTGAATTTGCAGCTCCAGGAGAGGGACATATCTGATCCGAGCACACGGGAGCAGATGAAGGGGGAGGAGGAGAGAGCGGAACACATCCTGGCCCACCAGGCCTTGAGCACGATGTTCCAGATTAGAGCAGCCAGTCCACAGAGAGGACCACGTGGCCAACCCCACTATGAGACATGATGACCCTCACTGACCCATAGTCCTACAGGGGACAACACCGGCATGATATGACAAAATAATAATTTATAAATTATCAGGGGTTCATGAGGGAGGGGGGAGCAGAGAGGGAGGGGGAAAAATGAGGAGCTGATGCCAGGGGCTTAAGTGGAGAGCAAATGTTTTGAGAATGATGAGGGCAATGAATGTACACATGTGCTTTACACAATTGATGTATGTATGGATTGTGATAAGAGTTGTATGAGACCCTAATAAAACGATTAAAAAAACAAGAAAATAATGTTATGGTTAGGAGGGGGGTCACCACCACATGAGGAACTGTATGTAAGGGTCGCGGCATGAGGAAGGTGGAGAACCGCTGAACTGACGGACTCCTTCCTCTGCTTCCCATGGCACCTGGAGGAAACTTGTAACTCCTTCCCTTGCCTTAGGTGGTCTTGCCCACTCTAACCCCAGCCCCTGCTCCAAGACTGCTCCCTCAGCTCGCCCCTTACCCCAGCTAGCCTGGCTGTCATCTGCTCACTGCGCTTGCACGCTCACTCCACCTCAGGGCCTTTGCCCTTGCTGTTGCCTCTGCCTAGGCAGCTCTTCTGGTCCCCTCCTGCTCTCCCCACCCCATCCCTGCCCCCTGTCCCCACACCACCTGCAGTCGGGGGGTTCTTCCTAGAGCCCAGACCTGACCCTGTAGAGGTGTCTCTTCGAATTGGCTGGCCTGATAATGACATCACAATTCGGTCCCTACACCATTGGCCAGCCTTAGCCCTTCTGAGGCTCCTGGGGTGACGGCCACAGCACCATGCTCTCCCTCCCTCCTCTGGGCTCCCATCCCCTTCTCTGCCCTCCTCCCTCAAGGAGCTCCCCTGCACACTGCCCCTTCTCTGAGCTGCCCCCTGTGTTACCTCTGCCACCCACACAGGAGCTGGGGGTGGGTGGGGGTCTGACTGTTGCCCCCTCAGGGCCCAGCACGGGGCTTGGCCCAGGCCCTCGGGGCTCCTCACCCTGCATGTAGATGACCAGCAGCGTGTAGCAGATGGTGAGCGGTGTCCAGAAGCGCACAGCTTCCGAGGTGGTCAGAAAGTCCCTGTTGATGAGAGCCACGGCCGCCAGGTCGCCCACAGCGAAGGCCAGGGACAGAGCCCGGCCCAGCAGATTGGGGAGGTCGTGTGCGCCAGCCAGCAGGCCCAGGCACAGCCCGCAGTAGCGCTGGCTGCTGTGCAGCTCATAGAGGCGGTAGACATGGAGCCGGAGACGCCGGGCCCCTCTGCAGAGCAGCGTGGCCAGCCCGAGGGCCAGCAGCAGGTTCAGGGTACAGTGCGGGGCGCCCTCCTGCAGGAAGCTCAGGCCGCAGCTTAGGCCGCAGCCCAGGGAGTACTGGCACAGCAGGTAGAGCTGCAGCCTCTCCTTGCCCTTCGAGCCCTGGGGGAGTAGGAGGGAGGCAGATGAGGGGCCAGGTGGTGGGGCCAAGGAGGCTGTCAACTATTTGATGTTCCACTGTACAGAATCCATAGAGACCTCTGGTCTCAATCCCAAAGGACACTGGGGTTTATGGGACGATTTCTCTGTTTCGATTTCAATCCAATGATTTGGAAAACCCCTCTGCTGGCTGAAGAGTGCTGGTTCAGCAAGAAGGAGTCAAGCTGAGTTCTGCCCCCTGCTGGCTGCTGCTGGCCACAAGCCTCCCCACCCCTGACTGCGCTCCCCCTCGGTGCAAAGGGACCACAGCTAACCACACCCCGAGGTGTGAGCAGAGGCAATGCAGTCTGAGCATTTAACCCCCGGAAAACCAAACAGATTCATCCCCACCGACTCAGTCCGACTATAGGACGGAGCAGAACTGCCCGACGGAGTCTCCAAGGCTGTCCATCTGTTGCAAGCACATGGCCACGTCTTTCTCCCGAGGAGCAGCGGCTGGTGGGTGTGAACCCCTGACCTTTTGGTTAGCAGATGAGATGAGCACTCAACCACCGCGCCAGCAGAGCTTCCTGGTGGAGCACAGTCCAGGCATTGGGGAATTCCTGAGACCCAGGAGCTGTCACTGTTCACAGTCTCACCGAAAAGCGGGTGGTGGAAGGACTGGGAGCTCCCCATGGGTCTCCTTCCCCTCCCCCACCTGTCCCAGGGAGGAAAACTGCCCTGAACCAGCCCTGATGAGTCAGAATCTACCTTTCAACCAGACTGCCAGGTGATTCTGATCAACCCCGAGTGGTGGTTAAAATGCGGAGTCTGATAAGCCAGCAGGAGCCTGGTGGCCCAGTGCAAGGCCAGCAGTTGGGAACCACCAGTTGCCCTGCAGGAGAAAGATGGGGCTTTCTACTTCCCTAAAAAGTGGCAGCCTGGGGAGCCCACAGGGGCAGTTCCACCCAGCCCTGGCGCGTCTCTATGAGTCAGCATCAATGAACTCCTGGGTTTTCAGGGGCTGGGGATGTACCTGCTCAGCAGGGGGCCCGCTGGGAGGAAGACTGCCTGGAACCCAGGAGTGGTTCCCACCACCACCCTGTGCGTGTGCGTGTGCGTGTGTGTGTGAGTCTCACCTGGCCCAGGGACAGTAGCGTGGACACGGCTCGGAGAGAGAACTCCAGCACCACCAGGGCTGCCACCCGGGTCCCCACGAAGGTCAGGATCAGGGCGAGCCCCGCCAGGTGCACGGTCTCCAGCGAGGCCCACTGCAGCCGCTCTTTTTCAAGCTGCCGCCGCTCAGGGTCCCTGCTGAAGGGCAGTGCGGGTGGGCGGAGGAGGCACAGAACCCCAGCCAGGGAGGTGGTCTCTCACCCCGCCCTCCGGGGCGGGGTGGGGGGGTGGGGGCTGGGCGGTGCTCAGGGAGGAGCGGGCACTCACTTGGTACAGCGCACGAAGAAGTACACCTTCAGGAGGCTGCTGAGGACGGAGACTCCGCAGGCCCCGATGAAGCCTGGTGGGGAGGGGCGGAGGAGTGCTAGATGGGGGGCAGCCGGGGCACCCCAGGCCCACGTGGGAAGGGTCCCCGTGCAGCTCCAGCGGGCAGGGGCAGGGCTGATGGAGCCGCTCACCTTGCAGGAGAGCATCCAGGAGGCTGGAGCCCCACTCGAGGGAGGGGAGGCCAGAGAGCCACGAGGGGAGGGCTAGCAGGGAGAACATGGCTCCCAGCTCAGTGGTAGCCCAGGCAGGGCAGACTGACGTCACTGAGCAAAGGTGTCCGCCAGAAGGGGAGGGGCAGGTCAAAGGCCCACAGGAGGACGCCCCCAAGGGAGAGGCCTTAACCCTTCCCAGGCCGCAGCAAGGCAGGAAGGCAGGGCGTCAGCTCCAGGGACTTGGAGTGTCAGAGCCCGGGCCAGCTCAGGAGCTCCCCATCTGGGGCAGTGTGGGGTGAGGGCATTCTTTGGCCCTGTGGAAGGACAGCATCTACTTTCTCACCCTCCCTACGGCTGGGGTCCCACAGCGACTTCCTGAAGCCCCAGGCCTCCCCTTCAGGCTCAGAGCACCCTCTCATCCCAAGGTCCAGAAGAGGGGCCCTATTCCCCCAAGCCCAAGGTCAGGATCTGCTTTCTTGTCCCAGGACTGAGCCTCTGCGCCCAACAGCCTGAGGTTTGGGGTCTACTCCTAAAGTCTGAGACCTGGGGTCCAGAGTTACCTTCCACCCCACCACCCCCAAGCCTGAGATCTGGGGTCTACCGCCATAATCTGAGATCTGGAGTTACTCCCCACAGCTGAGATTTGGAATCTACCTCCCCCAGCCCTCTGAGATCTGGGGTCTACCACCATAATCTGAAGTCTGGCGTTACCCCCCACAGCTGACATCTGGGGTCTACCCCCTCCCACAAACTGATATCTGGGGGCCTACCCCCAATAACAGTCTGAGGTCTGGGGTCTGTCCGATCCTGGCCCTCTCAGAGGTCAGTAGCCTCAGTTCTGGGGTGTGGCTAGCTGAAATCGGTTCCTGGCACAGTCCCTGGCCTCCCCTCCCTCAGATCTGGGCCGGCCGCCTTGACATTCCCCCTGCGCCCACTAGGTGGCAGACCTCACTGGTGTCAGACTGGGTGGTGCTGGCTCCCCTGGAATCCAGAGAAAGAGCAGGGAAGGGTTTAGGGATGGGGCACACTGAGGCTGGTCGACGAGGGGGGCCATCAGAGTAAACAAAATAGAAAACTTTATTGGTTTGGAGTGTGTGGTAGCGGAGTGTAAGCTCCTGGGGTGCTGCTGGTGGCAGACACAGGAGGGCCTGGCAGGGAAGGGGGTCCTGGCATCTGCCCCTTCCAGGGCCTCTGTGTTCATCTCTGTAGCACAAAGGGCAGCGCAGGGCCTGGGGAAGGGGCCCACAGGGAGGGGCGAGCCCTAGCTCATCTCTCACTTCATGCAAATCCCTTCCCTTCTTCGACCCTCGTCTTCTGTGAATAATGGGCATCCCCCAGGCCCCTTTCTGAAATGTGGAGAGGCCAGGTGCAAATGCCCACATGGGCTGGACACCTGGCTGTCACTCCAAACTCACAGCCAGCCAGACTTGTAGCAGGCCCCACAGGCCAGGGCAGAGCTGCCCTGTGAATTTCTGAGGCTGTAACTCTGCATAGGAGTCGAAAGCCTCATTTATCTCTTGACGAGTGACAGGTGGCTTTGAACTGTTGGCCTTGAGGTTAGCAGCTCAACTTGTAACCAAGGTCACCAGGGTCCCTGAGCCCCAGGGAGGTGCCTCGGCCTCACTAAGCACCTCAGGCCTACCCAGGGGTACAGTGAACCCCATCTCAAGGACACAGATCTGAGGTTGGGACTGAGTTCCAGTGCTGCCATGTCAAAGCTACTTAACCTCTCTGAGCCTCAGCTTCATTGTCAACAGAGGATCTCGTGTTATCGAGCCCGGCTGGCTCCTTATCTAAGTGGCTAAGTGCTCGGCAGCTGCTCATCAGCAGGTTGACAGAGGTTCAAACCCACCAGCTGCTCCACAGAAAGAGAAAGAGGTGGCAGTCGACTCCGATAAAGATGACAACCTTGGAAACCCACAGGGGCAGTTCTACTCGGCCCTATAGGGCTGCTGGCAATTGGAATTAACTCGACAGCAACAGACTTTCATATTGCTTGGAAGTCTCTGGGCAGTTTAAAACAGTGAATGTGCTCTGCCACTGACTGAAAGGTTGGAGGTTCAAGTCGCCACACACCCCTCCACCCGGGTGCCTCAGAAGAAAGGCCTGGTTATCTACTCCCCCCAAAGCCAGCCATTGAAGACCCTGTGGAGCACAGGGCTACGCTGACATACCAGGAGTCGGAGCTGACTCGATTGCGCCGTTTGGCTGGGTTCTTCTTCCTGCTAATCAGCGAGTTGATGCATATGTCATCACCCTACTTAAGGGAGTGGCTCCCAGCGAGCAGTTGTCCTAACAGTGAGTAAGGCTCTGGGTGGGCAGAGTTAGCCTTAGACGCAGAGAGGAGAGAACTTTCAGAAAACAGAGTAGGGAAACGCTCTGGGCCTGGTGGGGCTGGGAGGTGGGTGGCCCACAGCCTGTGGCCTGCTCCGGGAGGCCCAGCCCCTGAGGTGTGGGTGAGTCCCTAGCTGAGTCAGTACCAGTGGATGGGGTGGGGGCAGGTGCCTAGGTGCCCTGTTGCTGGTCCCGCCTGGCCAGTTTCCGAAGCTCGTCCCAGAATAGCATGCTGAGGATGGTGTGGGGGCCCAGCCGCACGTAGGCAGGACCCAGGCCCTTGTACAGGGCCAGGGGGCCCTCCTGTCTCCAGATCTTCACCAGGCAGTCCACAAGGCCCCTGTACAGCTGGCCCTGGGGAAGGACACGTGTGGGCGTCATTACAAGGGCTGAGGTCCCTGGTTGGCCCGCTGGGGGTGTCTGTGACCAGGCTGGACACACACAGCCCTTTGTGCCAAGCAGAGGTGGCTTCCCACTCACATGGGGCCACTTACACAAAAGTGACCTCCTGGGCTGCAGAACTAGAAAAGTGGCCCTTCCAGCAGGCAGCCTTGGTCTCATACCAGGGGCTTGGTATGACTAGTAGCATACTGGCAGGTGCCACCCCTAGCGTCCACTGCGGCAGGCACCTCTGTATTGGGTACAGCCTGCACCATAGTGAGGCCAGGCCTATGTGGACCTGGGTGGGGAGGCCAGCAGTCCCATGGGCAGGCGGCTGAATCAGGCTGGATCCCCAGTCTGGCTCCTTTGCCTGTGAGCTGGCGGCTCAGCCAAGTCACTGGATCTCTCTGGGCCTCTCTTTGCTCATCAGGAAAGTGGGGGTGCTAGAAGAATGGAGTCAGGTCCTGACAGGACAGCAGTTATGAGGGGTGTGGGACACAGGTATTGCTCAGGAGCAAACTGGATCATGGTGCTGCACGTGTGCAACTGTGTGTGCATGCTTGTGTGTGCGTGTGCACATGTGTTCCCACACCCCACTCCGCCCCACCCCGTCCCGGCTCACCCTGCCAGCTTCATCCACGGGCTGATTGTACAGCCTCGTGCTGACCACATCGAATGGTGTCATGACCGCAGCCACAGCGACACTGCTGATCATGCCCCCAGCCAGGGCCACCAGCCAGCTTTCTTCCGGGAGCCACTGTGGGGACAGTACAGGCTGCTGACCCCCTTGCACCGACTCCCTGTGGTGGCCTCCCTCACTCTCAGGGCACAGGGGCTGAGAGCTGGGGCCAGAGGAGCAGACGGCCCCCAGCTATCCTCCCAGTGGCATCAGAGCTTCAGGGTTCACCAAGGGTAGAGACAGGCCCCCGCCTTCCCTGCCCCCTGATCTGCTCACCTATCACCCCCCCTAGAATTCCCAGTGTTTTGGGACATGTTGGGGATGGGGGGGTCCAGGTTTACTGAGCCCCTCACCTGCCGCTCCTGCACCCAGGCCTTGGAGGAGGCGAAGGTGGCCAGCTGGGCAGCAGAGCCCACCATGACTCGAGGCACAGCTCCACCCACTCCTCGCCATAGTCCCGTCACGCCCTGCTGTCGCCAGATGGTCTCCAGGGCTCCAAGGACCCCCTGTGTGGGGATGGCATGTGTTAGTGGACGGTCCTGTCCAGCCCACCCAGCTCTGCCCGGGGGCTCTCACCTGGTGATGGTGTTGGTGGCCCACAGCCATGGCGGCCACCGACTGGGCCTGCAGCTGCGTCTTGACCTGTCAGAGTGGCAGGGACAGAGAGGTTTCTGGGTGCAAGCCTTGGAGGGTTGTGTGTGTTGAGGGTACCCTCCCAGGGCCCCCCAAACCCAGGCTGTGATGGCCCCACACCTAAGCTGGGTACGGGAGCCGTGAGGGTGAAGGTCTGGAGTTGTGTGGCCTGGACATGTCTGTCATTTAACCTTCCCCATGCCTCAGTTTCTTCTCCAGGTCCCTGGAAGAGCATTCTAAGCTCACAGGACTAGAGTGCTGTCCAGTACGTAGCTCTTTGCTGGACGCCACAGGGGGCCCTTGCTCATACCGTGCACAGGTCACAGAGGAAGAGGGTGATAATGCTAGGACCTGAGCCACCACACCTCCTGCCACCTTAGCCCTGTCCTCTGGCTCAGGGACCAGGTGGTAGTGAGCTCAGGATCAGGTGCCCAGCGCCAAGGGCAAATTCCAAGCCTGGGCTGGGAGCAGCCACACCCAGCTGGCCCCACCTGGGACAGGTCTTCTGCAGGGACCCTGGAGGGGGCCGGGTGTTGGCGTGGAGGTGGATGAGACCACTCACCAGGTAAGCAGGGCTCCCCACGAAGGCTCCCAGCGCCCCTGCTAGGGCGCCCGCCACCAGGGTGCCGCCGGGCTGCTGGGCAAGGCCGGCCTGACACGCCAGGCTGTAGCAGTAGAAGCGGACACCGTTCATGAGGGCCTGGTAGAGGAGACCAGCAGCCAGTCCCTTCTGCAGACCCCGCAGACCGTCGGTGCGGGCCACTGCGGCGGCCGCCGCCACAATGCCGCGGTAGGGCCTTGGGTAGGTGCCCCGGGCCCGCAGCTCCCCCTGCAGCTGTAAGCGCGTCTTCACCACCTCCAGGGGGTTGGTGAAGACACAGGCCAGGCAGCAGGCCGAGGCGCCCAGCACCAGGTCCACAGCCGGGGACACCGGCTCCATGGCTTCCGGGCGAGGGGCCGGCTGTGCCGGGCTCAGGGGCATAAGGTCTCGGCTGGAGGTGGTGGCGCTTAGGCGGTTTGTGCCCGCGTAGGGCCGCAGGGCCAGGGGCCGAGGGCGCCCAGGATCATGTCTGGAGGGCAGGCGTCCCGGTGAACAAGCCCACGGCTGCCGGGCGTCTGGGTCTATCTCCGGAGTCCACCTGTTGCGATCTGCCTGCCGGCCCCGCGGCCAGCGCTCGGGACACGCCCCCGCCAGCTCCAGCCAATCCCAGCGGCCTCTGATGCCACACCTCCTGTCCGGGGCGGGGCCTGGGCCCTGGGATCTGGGGGAAAGGTCACAGGGGTCTGAGAGCCAGTGGGGTGAGAGAAGCCCCTCCCCCGAGTGCTTCTAGGGACTGTTCCACCTCGTTTAGCCAGCCCTGCCCTGGAGCAAGCAGCTTGGTGGTGTAGTGGATCTGACGTGCTGAGGTCTGCAAGGCTGGTGGTTTGGAATCACAGCTTCCCCAGGAGAGAAAAGGCAGGGCGTTCTACTCCTGTGAACGGTCTCTTAAAGCTCACAGAGCAGTCCTTCCCCTTATGGGGTCACTGAGTCCGTGGCAGTGAACTTGCTTTCTTTTTTTGGACGTGGGTATGTGTGTCAGGCGGGGGGGGGGGCGGTGTTCTAGAGCAGAACCCTAGGGCAAGGGAAGGGGCAACTTCCCTGCCCACACCCCATCCATCCATCCGTCTCCATGTGCCTCCAGCACCGAGCCCAGTGCCAACAGGGCTGCAGCGTCTGAGCATCTGCGTTTGAATCTCCAGCGCGTGACCCTTCCTCTCCAGCCTCAATATCCCTCAGTTGTAAAATGGAGATTTTTTTGCCTTCAAAAGATGGTTTTTTTCACATCTGAAAAATGTCACCCATAAGAGGTGAACAATAGGCAAACACAATAGTGGGGTAGGGCGGAAAAAAAAAAAGGAAAAAACTCCAACAACATATATACATATAATATATGAATATATGTGTATTTGTTTATGTGTATATGTGTAAACATAAGGAAACAGACTTTGGACCTCTACCTAAATCTTACTTCAGTACAAGAATGGTTTGTTCTAATAATGCGGCGTTGTATGATACCCACCTTCCCGACATGATTGCTGAAGACAAAATGGGTGCATAAGCAAATATGGTGAAAGCTGATGGTGCCCAGCTATTAAAAGATATAGTGTCAAAAAAAAAAAAGATATAGTGTCTGAGTCTTAAAGGCTTATAGTTAAACTGCCATCTAGCAGGGACACAACAAAACTGACATGGAAAGAACACACCAGCCTGTGTGATCATGGGGTGTTGATGGGAAGAGGTCTCAGACGTTAAAAAAACACGCAACCAAATCTATATGAAGGGGAGTGGATGTAGTGGAGACCCAAACTCCACCAGCATGACAATTGGACAGTCCCTCTCAGAAGGGCCTCATGGAAACGGAGGATAAATCCAGGGTGCGGTACGGCACTGGTGAATCACATAACTATCCTCTAGTCCTTTAAGATTTCCTCCCGTTACTATTAAGGTTTTTATGTGATATACCTCATTAATCACATTAGATTTGCATATGCTCATTTGTATATTTAAGATCACTGGGTACATGGTAGTCACGATAGACCCCTCAGAGACAGTGAAGGAGTAATGGTTCCCTGAGGGCATGGGAAATGAGAGGTGGGAGGGGAAGGGAGAGCAGAGGGGAGTTGATAGCATTGATGATTGTATAACCCCACCCGATGGGAACAGAACTGTATGGAAAGGGATATACTGGAATGAGAAAGTTATTTTTATTGGCGCCCTCAATAAAGGGCCAATAAAATATATTTTAAAAATACTCATATATCACCCATAAGTCTTCGGAACTGCCCAGCCTTGTTTCTCCGCTGCTGGGCAATTCTTAGATCATACTCAGACATTGATACCATCTAAAGTTTTTCTGATAGCCTTGTTTGTAAATTGTGGGGACTTGCTTAATTGTGCCACCTGTCCCAGAGGGAGAGGCCCTGGATGTAAATAGCCCTTTGCCATCCTGAGCACCTTGTCCATCACTTGTCTGCTCATCCCGCCCCTCCCACCTTGGACTGGCCCTGCCCAAACCCCCCACACCTCTGCATTTTACCCAGTAAGGGGGTTAAGTACACACTTACTTGTGAAAAAACGTAAAACTACTCACTGCAGATTAGTAAGTAATCACAGTAGGCTCATCCCTACTTTCCTTACTGGATACTCCATCCCTGTAGGGGACTGTCAAGTTTTGGTTCTGTAGGAAGGTGCGGTGTGAGACAGATGTGGTGGAAGAGTGGGAAACCGTTCACTGTGGTCACATGAACTGGGCTTCCTCTGCTGCCTGGGTAATCTGACAGCCTCTGACTGGAGGGGGAGGGTCAGGATAAACGGGGGAGGGCAAAGGTCAGTCCCAGAAACTTCCTAGAGGCCACAGTGAGTGCGGCTGGAGATCAGTTCCCAGTGTGTGTGGGCAGAGTATAGAGCAGGTGACCTCGGATCTGCATACTCGTAGGAGGAAGTGAAGGGCTGTCAGGAGGGCTTGAAGACACGCCCAATTGCGTCCCCTACCCCGGCCTCCAATAAAGGGCCAATGAGGAGCCATGGCAATATATAACAGGTCTATTTTATTTTTTTAAAAAACCAAACCAAACCACCTGAACCCTTCTCCCAGAGGGTCTGAGACGAAGCTCCTGAGGGGAGGGGCCCGGCTCCAGCCAAGCAGGGACAGCTGGGGTGTCAGTGTGGGGGGCTCCGCTCCTCGCCCAAGCTCCTTCTCCTTCTTTGCTCCTGGCAAAGGGACATGGCCTGGTTCCTGGGCCCTGCTGGGCCGCAGGGCGAGGCAGTGGTGGACATGCAGCGCCTCCTGGAGGCCGGTCCCGGCTGCGGGAACAGGTGCTTGGGGGTGGTGCTAATGGGCGCAGCCATGCAGAGACCAGCACCCCAGTTTCCTTCAGCCAGGCTGAATGTCCAAAAACGAACAAGGGTGGCCCGGCGCTCAGCCCCACGCTGTCCCTGAGCCTCTGCCTGGGCCTCTGACCCAGAGAGCAAGAAGGGGCTCCTGACCCCCAACTCCTCTCTCACTTCCTCTATTCTCCTTGCCACCCTGCCAGCCGGAGGACAGGCTGCGGATCAAGGGCGCCAGCCTGGGCCCGGAGGGTATACATCTCTGGGGCCCACGGGCTCGGAGCCCCACCCCTGTGCTCTCCATATTCGGTCTGCTGGGCACCCCACGCTGGATCCTCTGAGGTGTCGAGAGCCCGCCCCACGGCATCCTCACGTGTTGGGCGGGGTCAGCCTGGCGCGCAGTAGCAGCAGCAGCAGCCCAGCTGAAACGACGACTTTCCCACTGTCCAGCACAGCCTCAGCACCACGGGTCCCGGGAGGCTCTGCCACGGCACAGGCTGTCGCTGCGCTGCCAGGCGCTGTGGATGAGGCTCAGGGCATCCTCGAATTTCTTCTGGCTGGAGGCTTCCTGGATGGCCTTGTGGGGGAGGTCCACCTGCAGGGCAGGGGAGTCTGAGGGGCTGCAGAGCTGGGCCAGGCCCACAGCACCCTGGGGGCCTGCCTATGCCTTGGTGGTGGCACCCCTTACACCAGCTCGTCTCCCTGTTGCTGAAGTGGGCCCACCCCCCTGCTAAGGCGGCTTGGGCAGTTCAGGTCTCTGCGGAGACAGGCAGGACTTCCTGAGCACCCCTTCTAGGCAGGCCCTCTGCTCCCAGGGGTTGGGGGGAGAGCAGTTCCATTTCAGCTCTGCATAGACGGGGTGGTCTCAGCCTCAGGCTGACATCTAGCCCCAGGCTGGTACTTGTGCTCAGAACAATCCCAGTACCTGATTAAAGGGGTGTCGACCCAGCCAAGTGTCTCTGAGGGGGCAGCCAAGCTGCAGTCTTGGATTCCACCACTCAGGCCCAGCGGGTGCACTTTTAGACGGGAACCGAGGAGTTAAGACTGAGGTTTCCTGGCTTCTGCTAGCTGGGGTCTCAGACTCACTGGGGACTCAAGCTCTTGGTCCTAAATGTCTGCCTGTCCCAGAGCTCTTGGCTTGCTGCCTTCTCCAGGACCCAGGAGCTGCTGGGCCTCCTTACCAGGGTCCCAGCTGACACATCCTGGCAGCACATACCTGGTAGATGGCCTTCCAGGCAGCACCCAGTGCACACAGGAAGCGGTCCAGCTCAGAAGGGCAGCTCAGGTAGATGACCCAGGGAGGGAGGAGCTGCTGGCTGTCCTGGGAGAATTCCTGGGGCAGACAAGCCTCCGGTGAGCAGAGGCAGCTCTCTCCATGCGGGAGGAGCCCACTGTCACACTGTCCCCAGCTCACCAGGACACAGTACTCCTTGCCCGGCTCAGAGGAGGTGGCGCTGATGTCAGCCAGCCTGGCTAAGCCCAGGGAGCGGAAGAAGCTGGTCTGGCAATCTTCGTGGCATGTGAAGAGCCACTCGTCGGTGACAACCAGGCAGCAGGGAAGGCAGGGGCTAGGGGCTATGCCCTGGGGGATGACCTGGGAGGGCAGGGCCAAGGTCAGCCAGGCTCTCTGGGGAGGTCTCTCAGGACCTAGGCCTACCGTAGGAGTCTAGGTGTGAGGAGAGGGTGACTCCTACCGTAGGAGTCTAGGTGTGAGGAGAAGGTGTGGGCCAGGGAGCAGTACCGTGAGCCCCAGGGTCTCATGGTGGTATGGGGTCCTGGCAGGGACTGGGCAGGCCCAGGAGGCACTCACCCCCTTGGACACGGCCTGGCAGAGGTGCTGCATCCAGTCCGCCATCTCGGCCTCACTGTCGGCACTGAGCTCCAGGCAGGGCCGGTCGGCGAGGATGACCTGGAAGGCGTGGGGCCGATCCGTGGTGTTGGACCTCCGGCAGCCACCGCACTGCTCCCCCCTGGGCCAGAGGAGGAGGGTGAAATGGGGGCCTGGGAGCAGGGCTGGCTCGGGGTGAGAACCTTGGGGTTGGCCCAAGGTGGATGAATACCAAGGCTTGCCCCCATCCCGAGGAGAGCTGGAGGGTCCAGAAGGTTGGGCTCTCTAGAAAGGTTACAGCTGCCCGGCAGGACACCTTTTACTTCCGGGATCACCGAGCTCCCGTGGCCGGGTTAGAGGGGGTGGTCAGCTTTTAGCTCCAGCCTCCTCAGCAGGGTGCATCCTCACTCAGGGCCCCTCTAGGGGCAGTGTCACTCCTGGGGCATGTGTGTTCATGTCTCATTGGGAAGACTTCCACTAGCAGCCTTGGGCAGCTGCTGGGTGGGCTGAAGGGGAGGAGGGTTAACTGGTGGACAAGAGGGAAGGCTATCTATCTCTAAACAGGGAAACGGGAGTCTGGCAGTAGTGCCACGGCTCACCCCATGTTCACGGAGAGCAGTGGGATGACGTCGGTGCGGTCTGGATACTGGTAAAGGATCCCGTTGCTGCAGGGCCAACACAGTGGGTCAGACCTTCCCAAGGAAACGGGACCCAAGCAGATCCCAGAGCCGGGGCCCGGGGCTGCCCCCACAAACCTCGGTGGTCCCGGGAGGCTAGGGACCTGTTTTCTAGGGAAGGAAGGTGAAGAAAGACCCGCAGAGGGCCGTGGACCCCCTCAGGCTGTGGGGCAGCTGAAGGCAAGTCCCAGGGGGCCCAGCTGGCTTCAGGGAGGCATTCTGGGATCCCCCGGGCATCACAGACATCTAATATTCTGGGGGGTGCCCACTCCAAAGCCCCGGTGGAGAGGTGGGCTTCCTCCCTCCTCAGTGACCCCTGGTGGGGCCCTGACAGCCCCTGAGCTGAAGGCCCCCACCTGAGCACCACAAAGCAGGCCTTCCAGTGCTCCTTGCCCAGGTAGGAGGTCCCGGCCTTGTAGTGCAGCATGCCTTCTTTGGTGATCGTGCCCTCTGGGGGTGAGCAGTGGCAGGGGACAGGGCCCAGAGACTCGTCCGAGGGGTCCTCCCAGTGCACAAGCCCGTAGAATCGCACGGTAACATCAGACGCCTGGATTGGGGGCAGGGGGCAGAGCCTTGAGGGCATGCTCACCCACAGCCCAGGAGCAGATCAGGAGTGGCCACACCCCAGTGGGAAGGGGGCAGGATTAGGGATTGGAGAGCCCTCCCACGTGGTGACTGAGAAATGCTAGAGAATCTATTTGTACCACGTCACGCTAACACCAGGGCTGGCCAGCACAGGACGAACTCGGGGGCAGGTCCCTGGTGCGCAGGCTCTCACCTCACACTTAGATTCCTGGGCCACAAATTTGGCCAAAGCCAGTTTCTCCATGGTGGCATCGGTCAGGACACTGGGGTAGGGGGGTTCCCGGCAGCCTTTGATCATGGCCGACTTCAAAGAAGCCAAGAAGAACCTGGGGTGGGGGTTCTTGTCAGAAGCGTGGGGATCCCTGCCCCACTCTCCACCAGACAGGGCTCAGGCTGCAGGGCTCCTGGCTGGGGTAGGCTTTGGAGCTCAGGGGAGGGACAAGCCTGGCTGGAGTCAAGGCTAAGGGCAGGTGGGCACAATGTGGTGGCAGTACGTGGCCATCAAATGGTGCCTGGAAAAGGCTGATCCAGTCCCAGTGGCCCCAGGAGAAGACTGGACAGCAGGTGACCAGCTGGACTTCCACAGAGGGACCTCGAGGCAGGGCTCCTAGCTTATGAGAGTATTGTGCTTCCCATGTTCACATGTAAGCAAGCATTTGAGGGTGCACTTGGGTGAGCCATGCCAGGCCCTTTCCTGGGGGGTCATGGGGCCTGAGGGCAGGTGGGTTAGTCACAGGGGTCAGTCAGTGTGACCGCTCTCTGACCACACAGTGGTTCCAGAGCGAGCACAGCTCTCCTGCCACTTTGTGGTAGCCCAGCCCTGCTGCGGGGACAGGGCAGGCACTCACTCAGCCAGGGTCACGTCCGCCGTGTCCAGCAGAAACTGCTTCCTGCGGTTGGTACACACCAGTCTCACCGTCTGCTGGCCGAGGCCGACCTGTGGAGACCGCACACTCACCTGCACAGGCTGCTCTGGCCCCGGCCCACACGAGGAACAGCCGGACTGGCTGGAGGGCTGGGTGTGGGTAGGGAAGAGGCACCCTGGGCGGTGCAGGGAGCTCAGGATGGAAAGCTCCAGAAGCTTGGGGCCCCGACTCGAGTTGGAGTGGGGTGGTCAGAAACAGTGCCAAGGAGGTGTCCTCCTCAAGCCTGGCCTTATCCCCGGCCCCCTGTGCGGATGCTTCTCTGAGGGACAAAGTGGGGGTGGGGAGCAAGCCCCACAGCTCTCGGCCTGGGTGGGTGGGTGGGGGGACGGGGGGACTGCAGGCCTGGCCCTTTAGCAGCACCACTCTGGTGCTAGAACTCACCGATACGTAGTCAAGTTCATTGTAAGCTAAGGCCTCTTCCACGAGGTAGGGCTTCTCTGTTGCCCCTGAGGGAGAGAACAATGCACATTATCCCCCAAATGGTCTCTTGTCCCTCCCCTGGCCCTGTTGTCTGAGGAGCCTCCTCACCCTGCAATCGGAAAGGCCGGGGCAGGAGACTGGCATGAAGACAGGGCTGTGACAACCTGCCACGGCTTCCTGTGAGCCCTGCCATGATCCACCCCCCCCCCCCCCAGAGGGTGCCAGGGGGTCTCCAGAGCACTACCTTTGCGGAGCAGGTAGATGTAGCAGTCAGTGAGCAGCACGAACAGCAGCTGCAGGTTGCCCTCCATGTGCCCGGTGCTCAGTCGGATCATCTGAGGGCCCAGCAGACCCAGTCAGCCACAGAAGCAGCCTCCCCTCTGGCTGGGCCACCCCACGCACCCCTGGCTGCGACTCCTCGCCTGCTCATTTTGGGGTTCCTGGGACTTACTTTGAACAGCTGCTCTTCATTTTCTCGAAACACATGGATCATCAGCAGGAGCAAGTGATTGTTGTCCACTCTGTGGGTGGGAGAGGCAGCCAGTTTGCAGGGGTCCAAGCGAGGGAGGGAGGTCACACCCTGTCCTGTCTCTCTACCCAGGCCAGAGGTTCTGGAAGTTTGTGCTGGGCTTGTCTGGGGCGGCAGAATCCCTATGGCCTAGCTCCAAGGACTAGGAGGCTCCCCACCAGCTGCAGACCGCTTGCTCACCTGAACTCTGAGGGGTGGCTCATCTCGGAAGGACTCCCCTGTCCTTCATCCACCCCTGAATCCTCGGCGCTGCTCAGACACGGGCTGGGCTGCTCTCGCTTCCGCTGGCACAGCTCCTCCTGCAGCCCAGGCTCAGGACCAGCCACCGGCTCCTCGCTGACCACAGGCAACGGGGCTTCCAGTTCCTGGGCCTCCGGCTCCTGAGCCTCCCCCTGGGCATCATCTAGGGGCCGAGGCGCCTGTCCCTCTCCTCCTCCCTCCTCTTCTTGGCCAGCAGCCGCAGGGCTACCAGGAACATGCAGCGGTTGGCCAGGCCCTGCAGGGTCATGGTGGCCACCACCTGCTGCAGCACTGCTTGGACTCTCAACGGTAAAGCGGTAGAAGTCCATGGGGGCTGGAAGCCCCTCACTAAAGTCGCAGAGTGGTGGTCTCTCCGGGGCATCCCCGGGAGAGCCGGTCCGAAAGGGCTGCTCCGGGGGCTGCGTGTGCGAGTGCCACGTGCGAGGGTCCAGCTGCCCGTTGAGCTGGTCGATGACCTTACTCAGGGGCTGCCCCAGGCGCTCCATGGAGGTGTCTTTCATCGCTGGGATGAGCAGGCCCACGTGACCAAGCTCAGCGCACTCGCTGCTCCCAGCTGCACAGCTGGGCCCCCCACCCTCTTCCGGGGGCGAGTCCTGTCCAGGGCCTGGGCCGTCCCTGTGGCTGGCCTGCTTCTGCTGGGTGGAGGCCGGGTGCAGGGGGCTTGCTTCTTCGTCGGACTTGGTTTTCTTCTTCTTGCCCGCTTTCTTCTTCTTGGAGACCCTGGGGCAACAGGTAGGAAGAGTACTGAGATGCCAGGGCCACTAGACAGCGGGGTCCAAAAGATGATCCCGGCTCGTGGCCGCAGAGGGCACAGCCCGTGCAAGCCTGTGGTCCTGGACAGTGGGCGGCAGGGGCTCAGGCTCCGGGACTGGACTGGGCGGGAGCCTCCTGAGGGAGGCACAAGTGGCAGCAGGGACCCTGGGGAGGCCCTATGGCATCCCAAAGCATGTCCTGCCCGTTAGCTAGCAACACGGGTACGACACCTGGGGAAGTCTGGCTGCAAACTCCGGCCCGTCCTTTGGTCCCAAATGGGCTCAGCCAAGCCACTCAGATCTGAACCCGTGAGGCGGCTGTGCGCTGGACCCATCGGTGGGAGTGGGAGCCACCCTCGCCCGTCCTGCTCATGGTGGAGTCTCACGAGCTAGGGTCATCCCCTCCTCCTTCCCATCTCCGCCTTGCTGGCGTGGCTTCTCTTTCAGACTCGGCAGAATCAGAAATCTGTACAAATTCCTGGGAGGCCAGCCTGGACCTGGCCCAGCACTGCAATGATGGGGACTCCGAGCCGGCCCTGCTCCACTGACCTGATGACCTCAAGCTCGGCACAAGCCTCTGGCAGGTCCAGGCCTTGGGAGCCGCCCTTCTGCAGAGTGGTGGTGTGCACGGGGGTGGTGTCTGAGGAGGACACGCCCCCTGCCGGGTCCTCGTTGAAAGGGTTGTGGCGTTGGGTGGGACTCTTGGTGGAAGCCTTGCTGCTGGTCAGGTCTGAGGCCGTGGAGCGGGGCCCGCTGACAGTGTCTGTGAGGTCTCCGTCTGGGGTGACACGGGAGGCAGCCCATCACCCGGGGCCCCAGCTCCCCAGATCTGCTGGTCTCAGGAGAGAGGCAGTGGTCTTCTTTCAAAAGTAGAAGCCCCAGACAACAGCGAGTAGGGGTGTAGTTGAAGAGCAACTGGGAGAAGCCACCACGGCCACCACCCCGGGAGCCCTGAGCACACAGCCATCTGGCGGAGTTTGTGGGAAGAGTCCTGTCTAGGCTGAGCTCCTTGGCGATGGTGACCCTGATGCCTCGAGGGGTGGCTGGGCCTCATGAGGAGGGCACCCACCTCTTAGTTAACCTGAGGGCCCTGCTGCCAGAGGATGTTAGGGGAACATTTGGCAGCCCCTAGCTCCACCAAGCATGAGCAGCACTGGGAGACCCCACAGGCTCCTGCGAAGGGTCCCATGCAGAGGCAGATAAAGAGGGGCTCCGAGGAAGAGACAAGAAGGAAGAGGGATCAGAGTGGACGCAGCGACTGGAGTGGGTGGGAGAGGATGGGGGGAGGGGCCAGCACTGGGGCCCGGGGTGGGGTGGGGGCAGGAACGAGAGGCAGAGGGGAGAAGACAGATGCCTCGTGGGCCCTTCAGGCCCAAGGTCCTGCTGGCACCCTCCTGGGGGCAGGGGCGGGATGGAGAGACTTTATTCTACCCTGCTTGGTCCCTGCTCCTCTCTGGGTCCTGCTCTGCTCTGTCCCTGGCTCCAGCCTTGCAGATGTGGGAAGGAGGGTCCACAGGAATAGGTGGCCCACTCCCTCCCCCAGCCTCAGCCAGTCCCCGGAGCAGGGCAGGGAGAGGCAGAGGGGCCCCCAGACAAGCAGACAGGTGTGGCTCTGATGACAGATGGAGACACCCAGCAGAGAGCGAGGGGAGGCCCGGCTGGGGAAGGCAGCCTGGCAAAGGTTAATGGCACGGTACGCCAGGCATTTGCGCTTCACTTGCCAGTGCACACACATCTTGCTGACCAGGCTATGCCCAGAGGACACATGGCAAGCACGCTCCCTGCAAACCTCTCCAGCAGGGCTTCAGAACCCTCTCCTTTCCATGAACGTGGTCTCTCTCTTTTTAATTTGTTTTGCTGTTGCTGAGAATGGACACAACAAACACACCAAATCAACACGCTTTACATGTGCAATTCAGTGACATCGGTTAGGGTCGTCGAGTTGTGCCAACGCTCCTCGCCTCCTGTTCCGAGTTATTCCTCCCCAGGCACCTGACCTCACTGTCCGGAAGGCTCCTCTTTAATAAAGCTTCAGCAGCTGCTGTCAGTTGGCTCCCCTACAGATCACTGACTCGGTCCTTTTTGGTCTGTTTTCAATACAGTCTTTTCAGGTATGGACAAGCATGGGGCTGGGGGCGGTGGCCCGCTCTGCTAGACAACCCCAGTGGAAGACGGGGCGTTCTTCAGATTGCCTGGGACCCCAGAGCCTGAGCTCTCAGATGCAGAGAATCCTGCTCTTTGGCTGCTGAGCGGACCTTGCCCAGCCCTGCGGTTCCCTAGCACCAGAGGCTGCTCTGGGGAGGAGCGCTGAGAGGCAAGTCCGTGGGGGTGAAGGCTAGGGTGCCTACTGGTTCTAAAAGTGGCCCCAAGACCCCAAGAACTTTGAGCATGGAGCTGTCCCCAAACCTAGTTTCTCCCAGGCCCAAGGAGAAGCCCGAGCCTCTCAGGTGAACTGCCAGAGTGTTGGGGATTTCTCCGGAAGGCAGGACACCTCTGCCGAGTCAAATCTCACCAGCCAGACCCAAGGCTCAGCCCGCCCCAGCAAGCAGTGTTACGCAGGCTGTTAGTTCTCAGGCCACGGGCGCTCTGGGGGGCTGCAGAGGGAGGGCAGGCTGGCTATCAGGTGCAGGCCTTGCAACAGACAGGAAGTAGCTGGGTCACGAGGAGGGTTAGTTGTTAGAATCAGAGGGGTTGGGGGGTAGGGGGATCAATGTCCAGTGTGCGCTGCGAGGAGCGGAGCCAGGAGAATCAAGGATGTCTGGATGGAATTCTGGGTTCATGCTCATCTGAATGTGGGTTTCTCCGTGCGGCTCCCTGGACTGGAGGACGGCCCTGACCCTTCCCCGTGCTGTATCGTGTTTTCCTCACAGCAAAGCCGCCTCACACTCACAGAGCATGAGGAAAGACTACCTGCTTCGCATTCCTCAGCCCCAGGCAGCTCAGACGGCTGCGGTTCCTCATCCTCCCCCCGCCCCCCCCACCCACCCACCCCCAATGAAGCTGGGTCCTGGAGGCTGGGAGTGGGTGGCAGGACAAGAGGCACTTTCTACTGGGAGCCCTTGCTAGCTTCAGCGTTGACGGGAGCACTGGCCAGCCCAGAAACAGACCCATTGCCCTCAGTGACCGTGGAAGCCTGGGTAACTAGCTCTGAGGAGGTGCACAAGCCCAGAGGCGGGTGGAGGTGGTGGTGGTGCATCTGCATCTGCTCTAAACCCTCACACGAAGTTTCCGCTCAGGTGGACCTCGTCCTCTCAAACACCCAGGTGAGGACACCCTGTGGAAGGGACTGGAGGAGTCACACCCCCACTGTCAACTCCTCCTTCGGTGCGGTGGCCCAGAAGTTTGACCTGAAGGAGCTTAGTCCCGCTTGTGAGAGCCTGTTCCCCACAGCAAACCTGCCCCACTTAGCAGCCCCCTAGCTGCAGGTGATGGAGCCAGGCACCTGCCTGGAAAAGTAGTCACGGTAGCTTAGTGACTCCACAGGACCAGCTGTCCTCACTGGGAGAGGGGTCTGGGCTGGTGCTAAACCTGGACAGGTGTCCCTACTGCAGAATTCCATCTATCCACACACCAGACTTGGCTTTATGACATTGTTATCGTAATTAGCAAGGGGCTGATTTTGAGACATGCGGCAAGCTTGGCATGGCAACGTGGCAACACAGGAAAAGGGTGACAGCGGACTCTGCCCACCTTCCCAGTCTGTGCTGGGTACAGACGGCACTGCTGGAAACACATCTCCAAAATCATAATCTATAAAAACGAGGGACAAAACTGAAGATTAGAAACACAGGGAGTGGAAGGCCGGGGGTGGGGTGGGGTGGGGGGGGTGAGACCCAGAGGAAAACTCAACTGTCACATGCTCTCTAGCCACCTCAGAAGAGCTGATTGGGCCGCAGCTGGCCTCAACTCAGGCCCGCCCGCACCTCCGAGCAGCCAGCAAGACCCAGACCTAGTTCTGGTGGAGAAGAACCTGGGATCCCTCATACCTAATCTGGCTTTCTACCCCTCCTCCCTCCACACCCTGCAGGGCGGGGATGGAGCACAGGTCCTGCTCCAGCAGCCCCAGTTGTAGACTCTCTAAATCTCAAGGACAGGATGTGTGTGGGGGGGTGGGGGTGGGGGGGTGGTAGGGCGCAAACACGGACACCTCCATCCCCAGGCACGCGGGCTGCTCCTTCAAGGTTCAACCCAACCTGAGAGTGGCCATTTTCAGCATGTACAGTGAGTTTATGCAAGTCTGAATGTGACCCTTCCCCCAGAACATCAGACCTGGGGTGCCAGCAGAAATGGGAGGAAGGTCACAGTCAAAGCCGAGGAGCCCAGTGTCTGAACTTGGCTTGAGTTCCCTTCTCTGGAGCGGGCTCCCTCCACTTTCCCCAGGGGAGAAGGGGAGGGAGTAGCTGGGCTTAGAAAGGAACAGGAGTCCTGCACTGCTGCGGCGAGACGCCCTCTCGCCCCATTAGTGGCTTGTCCAGTCCCACATGATGAGCTGGTAACCCTCTGAAGCCCTGATGCAATGGGCACAACCATCTCTAACACGGTATCGGGGGCAGGAGGGACTTGAGAAGCTGGACGACAGATGAGAAATGGTGAAAAGTTTTCCCCTAAACGTTTGACCTGCTGGCTCTGTCTTTTTCCTGGGGCTTCTTAGCCTCTTTGTGCCTAGAATCTGGGTAGGACAACCCCCCAAAGCAGGCGTACTGCTGATCCTCCGTGCTCAGAAAGTGGCTCCTGGGCATCTGACCATGGCCGTCTGGAAAAGGAACTGTTGCTGGCCGAGGCCGTGGCATGGGCCCTTGACTCCTGGAGATGCCCAGGCCCAACAGGACCAACTGCTGTGCCGTGGGCCCCTGACTCCCGGCCATACCCATGCTCGACAGGACCACCCTGCTGTGCCAAGGCGTGGGCCTCTGGCTCCCGGTTGTGCCGGGGCCCAACAGGACCACAATGCCATGTTCCTCCTGGGGGTTACACAGGCTGAGCTTTGGAAACCAGACAACCAGGCCTTTCTTCCCAGTTTATCTTGGTCTGGAAATGCCACTGAAACCTGTCGGCCTCATAGCATCATGCAACCTTCCCATGACAGAGGGTAGTGGGGGGCAGACAAAGGCCACTGTCCAGGACCAGTTTTTTCAGCCCCACAAGGACTCTGGGGGAACTGGAGCCTGGGAAATGGCTTCCTCTGTTTAACTTAAAATTTCTACCACTGAACGAAGCAAAGGGAGACAGCCTCCAGCCAGGCTCACCCCACTGCCTTCCAGTCGATTCCAACTCATGGAGACCCTGCATAGGGAGGCTTGGTTTCCCAGGCTGTAGACCTTCACGGGAGCACACAGTGCCCTCTTCCTCCCGAGGGGCAGCTGGTGGGTCTGAGCTGCCAGCGCTTATCCCACAGCGCCACCGGGGCTCCTTGTGGCCCAGGACCACTCACCCTCGCTAGACGGGGCGATGGCACTGTCATCCCACTCCAGGTTGGTGGATGTGACGGAGTTGAAGGAGTTGAGGGACAGGCTGTCCGAGCCATGGACTGAGCTAGGCAGCCGGTCTTCGAAGTCCAGCAGGTACTGAGGCTTATAGTAGTCGGGCATGTAGGGTGCCAGGTCCAAGTAAGGGGCGTCCTGAGGACAGAGCAGGAATTGGCACCTGGTGGGGGCCCTGGCAGGCGAGAACACCTGGTCTTCCTCGAACCGCAGAGCCCAGGCTCGGGGCCAAGATGGCCCAGGTCTAGTCTCTCTCTGGGAATCAATACACGGAAGGCAGAACGTTCTGGAATAAGCTGCTAAAAAGAGTCACTTGAATGGTTCTGGCTTTTCAAGCTGTGAGCTGCAAGTGAACAGGGATTCCCAAACCCAGCTACAAGCTACACCCTCTGACACCTCTCAGCCTTTCGTGACCAGGGAGCCTTGTTCCTCCTGGCCGAGCTCCTGCCTCAGTCCAGGTTGCTGGGGTGGGGACGAGGAAGACCACTTATTAAGCAGGGGCAGCTGAGTTCATCTCGATGAGCCAGGGTCTGTGACCCGCTTTAGCTCTTTCTGGGCCACTGTCCCTCACTACAGGGTGTGGGGTCGAGGAGCCTGGCGTGACGATGGTGGCCGAGAGTAACTGGGAGCATGGAGCCTCTGAGCCTCCAGCCCTCACCACAAAGGAGAACCCCCGGGCCTGAGATGCCCAGGGCCAGGTGGCTTTTCTCAGGGTTGGGCTAAAGAGATAGAAAGAAACCACCGGAGCAGGGATTCGGGCTTGAAATAAGCCGAAGAGAACCATCGTTCTTCCCTCATGGTCACTACTGAGGCCCAGAAACCATTCTCTGTCAAACAAGCTGCGCCTGGAAAGAGCCCTCCCCCCTATTCCCACTGCTGCCCCCGCCCCCCAACCCCACTGCTGTCGGGTCTCACCAGCTCCAGATCGAAGCGGATGAACTCCAGCCCCGACACCAAGGTCAAGAAGAGAGTCAGGTGATCGTGGCTGCAGACGAGGGCATTCCTGCAAGGCACAGGGAGGGGGAGGTGGAGGTGCTGAGTCCCCAAGCTCACCAGCTTGAAAGTTGACCCATAACCCTCCTGGACTACACTCGGCCTCCAGCCATCACCCGTCGTGCACACGTGGAGCTATTCAGAGCCCGGGCCTGTAGCCTAAGCTCACCAGGCTCTCTCTCAGCAGCTGCGACCAATAGCCTGCTCCCTCAGGAACCCATATGAGCTTGTGCCAGGGGATGTGGGCATCCAGAATGGTCTAAAGACCGCTCAGAGATAGCACCGGCCACTACAGTGGCCAGGGAACACAGTACTAACCACAGCCCTCAGGTGCGGGCTAGCCTCCTGTGCCTTTGGTCATCACTGAGGTGTCCTCAGCTCGAAAGGCCAGGCTGGCCACCGGTGGGCACGCTGAGATGTGCATGTGGCACATCTCTGGGATGAGACCAGAGGGCGCTGTGGGCTCTGTGGGGTGGACCACCGGGGCACTCACTTGACGTAGTACTTATGCAGCAGGCCCAGGTTCTCCTGGAAGAGCCGCAGGTAGCTCTCCAGTGAGTTCTCGTTGAGGGCCAGGTACAGCCAGGCCCGGCCTGCAAACAATGGGCAGGAAGGTCATCAGGGTGTGGACGTCTTTGCTGAGCAAGGAAGGAAGGACCCAGGACTCCCACAGACTTCTCCCTTGATGGAGTTCCACTGCCCCTGAGCTTGCTTTTCTCTGCCAGACCCCAGGCTGCAGCTGGCTGGGAAACTCCAATAAGAGGGCAGACTGTAGACTTCAGCTGGGCTGAGAAATGCCAGGGGTCCACGTGGATCCCGTGGGCTAGCATTCATCCCAGCCCAGGGCGAGATGGCACCTCATCATCTGCTTGGGCTAGAATTCCTTCTCTGGCTCCCCTCCACCCCATCATTAAGACGCCAACAAACTCGCATCTACAGGGAGGGCGCTGGCATTCTATACCCAAGGTCACTGGACACCCCGAGGCTTTCCGCCTCCCCAGCATCCCCGTAACGACTCACTGCGCCCCAGGTTGGTGGCCACATGCTGCAGCACCTCGATCTGTTTGATGGCTTCTCTCCGGGTGAAATGCACCACGAGCACCCAGTAGCCAGACGAGAGGTCCTGCAGGCTGAGACACAGGGTGGGGATGCTACGAGAGGCGCCCTCAGTAGTCAGCTCGGGGTGCTTCCTGATCTAGAGACAACCACTCAGCTTCAGACGCTCTCATACTTGTGGCTGTTCCGCCCCGCCAGGAACTTATGCCTGTCCAGGGACAAATGCAGCATGGTGGTTACTCGCTGAGCTGCTGACTGCAAGGTCAGCAGTTCGAAACCACCAGCTGCTCCTCAGGAGAGAGACAGGGCTTTCTGTTCTTGCACAAAGTTATGGCCTCAGACACTCATGGGACCAATTCCACCCTGTCCTATTGGGTCACTATGAGATGGCATCACTCGATGGCAGTGAGTTTGTTGAGACAAATGACTGGGAGCCCCCACAGAAGCCTGTGGAAAGGAGAACTCAAGAGTGAGCACGGCTAGGCACTGACGTCTGTGGAGCCCTCCTGTCTTGTCCTGCTCACCCATAGAGCAGAGCATGGTCCAAGTGCTCACAGAGCCGCTGCAGAACTTTATCGTGGTTCCGGATGGCTGGGGTCTCGTCCTCACAGGCAGCAAAGTAGCTCTGCAGCTGGGAGAAAGAACATACAGCACCCTGGTTGGAAATGGAGGGCAACAGGCCTTCTGGGATCAGGGCAGTGGTTGGGAAACCCCCAGGCAGATAATGTGACTCTTGTGGCCGGTTGGGGAGCTGGCCTCAGTCACCCCTCACAAGCTGCTTATGCTGCATGGAGGTCCCTGAAGGCTGAGTCCTTGGAGCCCCGTCCCCAAGAAGAGCTTCTCCTGGCAACAGCTTAATGATGCCAAGGAGTTTCAAGTCCCGTGTAGGCTTCAAGAGTCATAGGCTTGAGGCGAGGGCCCAACATCACCAGGGGATACCGCACACAGTTCTGCCGAGATCAGAGGTTCCCAAACTTAGTTTGCCCGTCACCCCCTCTTCAGGGGGAAAAAAAGATTCAGTTCTCACGCGCCTGTCCCCACACCCACTGCTCTGCAATGAGAGACTGTGTCCTGTAGCCCAGAGTCCAGGACAGCCGAGCTAGCTGCTTTGACAGCATCCCTGGATCATGCCCCCACCCCCCGGGGAAGGGGAGAGGCAGGGGTCACTTTGGGAAACTCTGGTCTAGAAGAAGGCATCCTTCGTCCCCTTTGTCAATGTCTCCCACCCCAAGGTTTTGCACCCCAGTGGAGGGCACCCTGTACATGCTGAGGGCCCATGGCTGGGGTACCTGTTCTCAGCCTTGCCAACAGCTTGCACGGGACACTGGGTCTGTCTGAGGATCCTGGCACGGCAGGCTACAGATCTGGGTGCATGTCAGTCTCATGTCAAGCCCCACGCCAAGAACGACATTGTTCCCAGGCTGGGCTGAGCAAAGGCCACGTGGACAGGAGAGGACGGGAACCGCAGCACGTAGCGAACACCTTCAGGGAGGGGCATGCCGGGCAGCTGGGACAGCTTAATTAAGGTGAAAAAAGCTCAGTAACTCGGCTGAGTTTTCTGGCAACTTTCAGGGCCTTTCAAGTACAGCTATAGGAGGAGCCTCCCCCTTCTACACCCTTGTCGCTATTTCTTCTCAACAACAAGAGCGGGGAGGACCCGAGACGAGGGCGCAGGTGCCAGCACACTGCTCTCAGGTCTAAGCTTCGGGGGCTGGCAGTGGGGTTAGAGGGGCACCAGCAGGCAAGATGCAGCAACCAGTTCACCAAGCACGCGCTCCAGAGAGAAGCCAACCAGTCAGTCCACAACAAAAATCCCACTTTCTCCGGGTCCAGAGCAAAGCCCAGCAGTCAGTCCTGGACAGACTCGCCTGTGGGGTCCGCCCATCCTCCAGAGAGGTGGGCAAGGCCAAGCGCCAGGAGGGAAGGGCACTGAGCTCCAGATTCACGCGAGTCCATCTCAGCAATGACCCTTCAGTATGCGGACTGCAAATGGCAATGTCAAACCTTTTGTTGTTTTAAATTTTAAAATCCTAGTACATTTGTGATCAGTCTTAGGTGCTGAAGCTGGAAGAGTCCTTAGCGATCCAGTCCAATTAACATGAAAAAGCAACAAAGAGGCTCATTCATTTTCTTGATTGTGAAAGTAGCTATATCCACCCATCACATGGAAAATAGAGAAAAGCGTCCATCCGTTCATTCACAGATACACAGCAAAGGCAGCAAAGGCCAAGAGAGGCTGTCTCATAACGACGGCGGTTCAGAGACCCAGGCCTCTTCCTTAGGCCAGGGTACTTTAGAAGAGAAAGAGAGAAAAGGGCTGAAAGCCACATTTGATGATTATAAAATGTTAAGCCTATACAATGTTAAGCCATAGTAAAGTATGTTTAAAGCATAGAAGCCTCTCGCCCACCTGCCTTTGACTCTCACCAGCTGGGCATGTGTCCTCCTTGCATTTCCTGCACACACAGACACCTACTTTTTATAGGAAAGTAAAATGGGACCATGCTGTACTCGTCACTGCAAAACTTGCCCTTTCTGTAGCTCAACAGTCTACCAAATGCATATTTCCGTATCATTGCATAGAGATCTAGGTCCTTCTTGCCACCCAATCATACTTTAAAATAGGGACACACTGGGCTTTAACCAGCCCCCTTCTGTTCAGTATGTACATCATCTCCAATTCTTTGATAGTGTCCCCACTGTCATGCACAGCCGGGGATCCCTGTGCGGCTATGTCTATAGAAGAAGTGCTTGGGTGAGGCACTGTTGAGTTGAAGGACATGCACATTTACAATCTGGCAGGGCCTGAACATTTGCTCTTCTAAAGTGTTAGGTAATTTATCGTGCTGTTACCATAGCTATAACCCGTCCAAACCTTGCCAATCAGTTTGGTGGAAAATAGTACCTAAAAGCTTTATCCTCCAGTCCCCCCCAAAAGAAATAAGAGTCTCACTAACAACTTGGGATATTCAGGTGACACCACCTTGCTTGTTGAAAGCACTTACTCCCTGATGAAGATCGGGACTGCCACGTCAGTATGCATTACACTTCAACATAAGGACAACCAAGATCTCACACAGGACCCTTAACAACACCATGACAAATGAGGGTGTTAAGGATTTCACTTTACGCATTACTTCGATTCACAACCAACACCCACAGAAGTCAGAAATCAGACAACATCAATGTAATAATGGATTTGCCCCCTTATTACTTTGAGTAAACCAAGTAAACTAAAACAAAATTTTAAAAAATTCTTTATAGTATAAAAAGTAAAAATGTCTGCCTGACCCAAGCCAGGGTATTTTTGTTTCCAAGCGAACATCAGACGTGTAGCATGGCCTGGATGCAGGAAGATCCCCATCATCACCTCTACCTTAGCCGTGGGGTTTCCAGGGGCCTCACATACATGTGAACATTGGGGGGTGAATAGGGGAGACACAGAAGAATCAAAGTCTCTGGACGACGGTGTTGGCGAAGAATACGAAAGCTCCGGGGACTGCCAGAAGGAAAAACGACTTGTCTGGGGAAGAAGTTCAACCAGAACATTCCTTAGAAGGAACTCTGGGGAGCCTTGGTGTCAGTACGTTAGAGATGCTGTTGAACGGACCAGTCCCTGGAAAAAGACCTCATGCTTGGTAAAGTAAAGGGTCAGCACTACAGGAGGAGGGTCCGTGGTGAGATGGACTGTAACTACGGGCTCACACACAGCGGGGGCTGGAGGACGGTGCAGGTCGGGACTGTGTTTCTATTTGTTGTCTGTAGGGTCACTTGGGTCTAAACTGACTCGGGGGCACAAGCACCTGTGAGTTGCCTATTCATAACTGAGCCCAATCTGTCCCTGGCTGCTTGTCTTTTTCCTACCGACCTGCCATTGCCCTTTGTTAAGGATTTCACCCTGCTTGTTGCCGGGTGCCACTGTGTCCCCTTTGCTTAGGATATTTTCCTCCTATTCGGAATGCTTACTGTTTCATGCGGTCTGACTTGTCAGCCTTTTCCTTTATAGCTTGTTATCCCCAGTCTAATAATTCCAAAGCACTTGCATTTCCAAAACAGTTAGAGGACTTTTCTGTTTAATGTTCACTTTATATATGACATGAGGTAAGGTTTTATTACTTTGAAAATGGATAACCAGTTTTCCTCATACTCCCTAGTCATCCAGCCTCCCCCCGGCTGATTTAGTGTATCACCTGGCTAGATTACTTTGTTCTATTGTCTCTTCTTGTACCAGGCCCTCACTTTTAGTTATATTTCTTTCCTTATACATTTTTTTGATGAAAACATGCACAAAAAGCACACATCAATAAGAAAATCTCTACGTGTACCATTCAGTTTCTTTGGCTACGTTCTCAAGTTGGACCACCTTTCCCGATCGCCTTTTCTACATTACAGTCACCACCATATAACGAACGCACAAAGCACATAAACTCACTGCCTGCTAAGCTTCTCATCTCACCTCTGGCGCCAGCTAACTTTTGTCGTCAATGTGGTCGTCTATAGATCATTCTGTAAAAACAATAGTGCTCAAGACTAACATTCTCTGCTAACTAAGAACAAGCACTCTTTGGTCTACAATGACTCCAGGGATAGTGCCATTGAAGGTTTAAGGAGTTCCTCAGTGTGACATTTTTGTGGAGGGGTGGGGACATTCAGCCTTAGTGGCTCCAGAAAGTCTGGATTCCATGAGAATTCCATTGTACCCCCCACCCTATGCCTACTTGTTTTATAGAATCTTTGATCAAAATGGTAGCGGCATCGGTGAGTGCTTGTGGTCTCATGGCAAAGGGGCAGCTGTCCAGAGGCCACTACGCCTCCTGCAGTTCCCGAGTCTCTTTCTTTCTCTGCTGCTCCAGGCAGCTGGGGACCGCCACTGTTGGGCCTTGTCTGGCCGTTTGCAAGGTGTGCAAGCCCAGGCCTTACACGCTGAACTCAGACGTAGGACAAAAGCACGAAAAACAGTATCGGCCCAATTGACTAGACTTTTCCCATAAAACCATGACCTTAAGCTTTCGAACCAAGCAAATAAATCCCATGAAGTATTTCATGCACACTAGCAGTGTGAGCAGCTACTTGTTGTTATAAAGTATATATCAGGGGTCCACAAACTTTTAAAACGGGGCCAGTTCACTGTCCCTCAGACGGTTGGGGGGCTGGACTATAGCTTAAAATCAAATTTCATTACAGTTCACTGTGAGATTTGGAGGAGAATCACCATCAGAGATGATAGTGGGAAGAAATGATATTGTCGCAGCATTTCATTTTTCATCCAGGAGCAGCCATTTCGTCGATTTTTTTCACATCTCCCTGTCTATCCTTTGGCAGGTGTTATAGCTTCCTTGAGATATGTCTTGGACATTTACTTCAAAGCGAGTTGCACATAGAACATAAACATCACCTAAGGAACTATTTGTAACCGTGAAACAATCTCTGCCCAACGTACAATATCAGTAAAGGATAGCATGGTGGTCAGAGTGCTTGTGGAGTCAGGAAGCACACGAAATGCTGAACAGCCACAATGTAGATATTTCCATCTTTCAGAAGCTTTCCCTGGACAGTGCTGGCAAGGAGATCAAATGATGTCATGATGCAAAAAGCTTGCTAGAGAAGCAAGTGCTCAACAAATATGAGCTG